TAAATATATCCCAATGGGCAATTGCTACTCAAATCTTAGGACATATGTAATAATATATAAAAAATGAGTGGTCAATCGGTGTTTAGAATGGTGAAAAAATGTACTGAGAAAAATTTTTTTGGTAAATTTACGGAGCTCACATCTCCAATATTAATAATAACAATAATAAGTATCGTCGTTCAATAATCGGATCGTTTTCAGCCGGTTAATCGTATTTTTTGTTTTCGTTTAAAGCTTAATAATATAAACCATATTTAAGGAGAGCAAACATTGCAAATCGTCATGCAAAAATATTTGCAAAAAAAGAGGATGGAAATGTCAACGCCGAGTGTTCGAGATCGAGCACGTGGTAGAAATATTAAATTCCTTTTAAAGTCCAAAGTTTGGACGACGTAATATTCCGTTTACTGGTCGTTTTCACTCTTCACCTCATCGTTCTAAATATGTTTGTTATGGTAGGTCGAGGGTCTAGAATGAAAAAGTTCTAAATCACATTTTTTTCCAAAAATCACTTTTTAACTAAAACGGGTTTAGAATGCAAAGGCGCATCTATTAAGCTAACATTTATGATTATACGATCATTATTGAACATTTTTTTTTAATGTAAAAGGTTTTAAATTGCCAAAAATTAAATTATAAACACAATTTAATCGAATTGAAAACGCTCGGTTAATGGAACCAAATTATTAACAATACGTTAGTACGAAAAGGTTCTAATTAAAATTAATCCTACCAATAATAAACCTAATAATTATTACATTTATCCATATTAAACAGAATTTTAAGATCGAGACACAGATTTTGATGTTCCATAATTATTATTACATTGTTTCGTGATAGAAGGTTGGTAGCAATGAGAAAACATTAGGTATTCTGAAAAGGATTCAGCTAAAAATAATAAAAATAATAAATAAGAATGAAAAAGTTCTAATTAAATATATTTTTTTTTTATTTTAGGATGAAAAGGTTAGAAATATTCTAATATTGTAGGACCTTTTCATACTGAACATTTTATTAATTTGTATATCAACCAATACAGCAAATTATTGTAATGTTGTGAATTATACTATACATTCAAAAAATGTTATTCAAGGAGTATAATATTTGAACTCAAACCTTAATATTGCTCTCCTGGACAATTTCATAAAAATGATTTAGAACCTTTTCATTCTAGACCCACGGGGTATTGAATTATAAAAAGTTTGGACGGTGACATCGAAAAGGCGCTCGCCTGACATTATTAGTCCGTCACAACTCACAATAACGACTCGTCAACGTTTAATAATTTATGTCATAGGTAAAACATTTATGTTGTCGTTGTCTTACTTTGGTTTTGTATTTGGCAAATATTTTTGCTTTTTTATCATATTATACTCTAAATATACGCCAGCAAACTTTAAACTATGTCAAATCTCAAATGGTTTGTTTTTTTACGAGACGAATGCAATTAAACGCGTGTTTTTACATTATACTTTTTTTTATCATCAAACACGAACGATCCATTTCCATCGCTGTTAAGCTTATAAATATTTATGACGTGCGACATAATAAACTATTTTAGCATTCGATTTACTGCCCCCTAAACGTTAATCTGAAAAAAAAACCACAACACACCACGACCATAAGATTTTTAATTGCTCGTGAAAATGAGGAGCTCCGTAAAACGTACAATAATTTCCAAAAATATAAGTATTAAGTTATGTGATCATTTCATTCTTACAATAAATTTATTTATGACTTTTATATGTTAGATATAGTTAAGACATATAATATTTCTCATGTTTGGTTATTATCCTCTACGATTCGTTTAAAATAATATGAATACTTCCAAATCACCTTAAAAAGCATATTTTCCATAACATGTAAATTAAATGTAGGCACTAGACCGTCCTAACTTATAATTTTTAAAATTCGCAATTGTTTATTATTTATTAATATCACCAATATATAAAAATGTTATTTTCGATTGTGGTTTTCGGTCTTCACAAAATCAAGTAACACTTTACTTTTGTTTCTGATGTTAAAATATTGATAATACGACATTCGTGCCAAAAGTACATAATACGTTATTCAGCTAATCGTTATATTTGAATTTTGAATAAAAAATTAAAAAAAATATAAAACATGAAGATAATACGTAGGACGTATTGTAATAAAGCCCTCAATATTCAGAAATTCAATTTGGTTTTCCTTATCGTCTTATGTATAATATGTTTGTGTTATTTCTTTTCGCATAATGTCTTTACTACTGTGTGTGTGTGTGTGTGTGTGTTTGTTTGTTTGTTTTGTAAACGAAACTCGAAAAACAAAAAGCGGAAACCGTCTAAAGTAATTTCTACGCTTATACTGCAGTGTTCCTCTATACAGTGAATAGTGTCAAACATTTATAATCGACGACGGCGATGGGAGCGACGACAATGTCTCACGACACGGGCAAAACGCCCTCCGGTGTTATGTCCTATTGTTCGCGCGTTCGGTCTGAGTATAATATTATGGTATTGTGTGCAAAAATAATAATAATAATACCAACAATTTTTCCAAGCAAGCGTGTACACACACGATAATAAATGATAAATGGGAAAACGCAAAGATTATATGTTATAATTATTATTATTATTATTATTATTATTATTATTATGATCATCAGGTGCATATTAAGTGCATCGAAAATTCCACGGCCGGTGGACAACGAAGAGTAGGTCATAGATGGGTATAATGTAGATGGTGGAAAACTATTCAAAATAATTCACCCAATGCTTTGCAGCAATTGATCTCACGCCTCGTGTTAAAGATAAACTACAGTATACGTATCGCCATATTATACGCATCACCCACAGAGGAACCATGTAACGGAGTCGAACTTGGATTGAGGGTGCTGTGAAATCGCTTAAAATAAATGATGTGTTTTACAGTCTTTAAAAGAAAAAAGTGAAATTTTATGAACGACAATATACCCGAGTGTTTACTATACAGTTGGTGAAAAATAAATATTACAATAATAATATTATGATATTAAAACGATGACGGCAAAAGTCGAAAACCAAAGGCGCCGCGCGCCGTCTGGTCGGTGGGCGTTTTTCCGTTTTTCTGTTTAACGAAAATCGCACAGTTTGTCATCCGAACACGCGTTGGGTTTGGAACGAAATATGCGCATCCGCGTCATATTATTTATATACCGACGCAGACACCACCGGAGTATAATAATAATAATAATAATAAAAATAATAAAAATAATACGCGAGCACGCACCGTTTTGTGTATATACTCGTTTATATGCCTATATATATATTAATACTCCGCTTCGCCTTTTTTTGTATTATTATTGTTATTATTTTTTTTTTCTCAACCACCATTTATCACGTCTGACACGTCGCCGTTTTTATTCGTTAGTCATTTATTCCCGACCGACGGGGTACAGTCAAACCGTTTTGGTGTCGTGTCGCTTGCCCCAAGTGTGTGCTTGCGAGTGTGTGCGTGTGGGTGTGTGGGTGTGTGTGCGTGCGTGCGCAATTTTCGTATACTCGTGTCACCGGGCCAAAACGTGTGTGAAATGACTCGAGCCGGCGACAAATCACCGAACGATTTATTCGAATAATAACCAGGACACGCAACGCGGATACGGAAGTATATTATATATATTATATAAATGAAAAAACCTATTCGGCCGCGTCCCGTAAACACCGTAAGAAATATCGTTCGTATCGCGCACACTATATACGCACCTATATAAATAATAATATATAAATATTTTATTGCTCAGGCACTTGTGCGGAAACCCAAAATATAGCACAAATATATATATTATTACCTACATGCGAACGCCACCGGCGCGGAGTTCCGAAGGTTCAATACTTCCGAGTCCGGAGAGTCGTCTTCGCTATCGCCACACGATTTTCCCAATATATTTATTTCAAGTTCGTTTCTAACGTGAGATCCTGGACCGGTGGTAGTCATGAGTCATGACACTCACTTTAAAAAAAAAAATGGTCGTAGTTCAAATCCGCACACCTCTGTAGGTACCCAACATCAATACCGCACTGCTATTTTCCCAAAATTGATGTATATCAATAGCGCATACATTTATCCAAAATCACATTATCGTTTACCCCACGCCTGCACATAATTATCAAATTTAATCATAATCAAAGAAATTCACAATTTCATAAAAATAGACATTTGACGATTATCCTCAGATTGTTAAGATACACGTCAAGATCACACGCTTATGGTTTTCATCTTGAAAATTTACATTTCTACTGCAAAGTATATATCAATTACTAAACATTTGTATCAACATTAAGTACATTCGTCTCTCTTTTGGACTTCGTATAGTGGATTGACATGATACAATTTTTTATACAAAGGTTCGGAATCTATAATTTACCAACAATTTACCCAAAATATTCACTTCATCGAAAAAATAAAAATTTCCAGGCACTCAGTTTGGCATTAATGTTATTAATTATAAAGATTTATTCAATAAAAACAAGTATATACATATTTTCGAACTGTAAATCAAATTCCTGATTCCACTTTTTAGTTATAGACAAAATGTGTGAGGTACTTAACGGTGTAAAATGTGTAGTTATGACTTTATGAGCAGTTGATGAGTGGTAGGTTAGGTTAGGGTTAGATTAGGTTTTGAAGCTCATCAAGACGTGTGGAATATAATATTATGTTATGAATAACCCTTGATGTACTGTAAAAATCAGGTTTCTATAAAGTTTCAATTTATTATTGAATTATAAAATATTAAAATGTATGAAATGTACCTGTTATGGTATTTTTTATATAACTATACATATTAATATTTTTTTCTGCCATGTAGGAACTTACAAACAAACCTTTTTTACCTTGTAGGAACTTACACACATACCACTTTTTTCGCCGTGTAAGGACTAACATAGGTACCTTTTTTTACCTTGTAGGACCTTACATTCACCCACCAAAATTATTAGTGATACTTTTGTGGACGCACTTAAATATTAAAAAGGTACGATATGGAAAACCGGACTAACTTGAGCAACACTCAACTTCGGTAAGATCTACTGAAGAAAGCAAAAAATTGGCCTGGAGACCTATAATAATAAAAAAAAAGTCGTTTAGCGACCATTTTCCATTGCATACGTTACCCATCAGAAAGTAATTATTATTAATGGGTCATGATGATGTACATTTTCAGCTGATTATAATACTTAAGATAGGAGGACGTTATACCCATATGAGGTGTGATTTCTGTGACTTTTTTGATATTTGTATTTTATAATAAACCCTTATGAGGAGGCAGTTGGTACTTAAATATATTTTTTTTTTTAAATATAGTCAGCTTTAAAATAAAAAAATTAAAAAAACCTCTTTGCTGGAGCACAGCCTATAATATAAGTTGTCCACTTAAAAGTTGATAGTAAGTACATTTTCTCTAACATCGGCCATAGATAATATGCTGTTATAAGGATTCAATAAGTACATTTTCGAAGTTACGTGTATGTTAGACAGATACACCACTTGCAAGTCCTAACGTCGTCTTGACACGAGTATTTGGATATATCCATGACGGATTATTTACAAAAGACTATATTATTGATAATTGGTAATTGGTAATTTATATTTATAATTCATACATTTTTTGATTAAATATTCCTATTAGTTATCTCATAACTGTTATTGTACTACACTATTTCTGTACATTATGTTCTAAGGCAAAAATAATCCGTTTGGTTATTACATTCAATAAAATAAAATAAGATAGAAATAAAAATATAAATTTAATTGGGAATTACAGTTCATATAGCCCAAATAGCGCTAGGAAAGTGGATTATAAGTTAAATTATAGATCGATGAAATGTATTTATTATTTATTGATTAATGATTATGGGCGCCTTAGAAAACTCGTCAAGTCATATTCAATTTTGAAAACATAAAATTATAAACAGATTACTTATGAAAGACTGCGCGACATCGTAACATTTTTACTATTGTACATTTATAACACAATAAATTTGTTGTTTAAAGATTCCAATTTGTAGTACACTATTTCTGTACATTATGTTATTTGCATAAAATCGTCTAGTTTTTATATTCAATAAAATAAATTGAGATAGAAATAAAAATATTTTAATTAAGCGTTGCGTAATTTATATGGCTCAAATAACACATGGAAAGTTTGTCCTTTTCCTAAATGTTGAAATATCAAAATGTTATTAACGAACTTACAGACAGTAAACGTCGTATTACGAATAATTTATTAACGAATCCAAAACTTAAGTGATTTGGGTCGGTTGTCATCGAGTTGGAAAACTCGAAAATAGTGCTCAAATGTATCTGTTATAGTTGTAGATCTACAAGTTATGCATGCTTTGTTTCTCAGGATCAAATGAAAAACAGTTAATATTTATTCCACATACCTTTTTAATAAGACTTGGTACTTCGTCGTAGCAGGCCATCGGCTCATTTTATTGGTATTTATTTATGCGTTTACGGTTTACTTACGTTCGAATACCCTACACGCGTATCCAAAAATGTCTCAGAGAGATATTATACGATTACTCTTTTGTGATAAAACATTTGTTTAGAGAATTAAAACTTCAACTTTTTATTTTTATTGTTCCAGTGGCAGGCCCGCCAGACACTGACGATCCGTTTGACGGAAACAGAGATGATCCAGTATTTATGGACACAAACGAAGGCGCTAGTAGCTCACAGGACTCAGATCAAAGTTCGAGTAAGTACCATGAGATTCACTATGTTAAATATGTTTTAACTCTAAAAGAGTTAAGAAAAATGTAAATTGAAGACTGATCAACTTGGATAATATCCAATGATGAAAATATTAATAATTTAAAGTAGGTAATAATAATAATACTACATAAGTAGACAGAGAACTCTTACATTATTATTACAAATTATATCGATTTAACGGAAATTAATTTATAATTGAATCATTAATAATTATATAGCCATAAAAACAACTTTGTATAATTACACGTCATTAACGATTCATATTACCAATTCAAATTAAATAATTAATTACCGATCGTGTCTGTAAATTAAAAATTATTTTTTAATTAACTACTAATATTTAATCGATACCTACAAAATATGTTTCTTTCACTTCAAACAATTTAAGATTGTTGACAAATGTAGTAATATTCTTTGTAATTTCTATCAGACCAGGTTTTGTTCAATGTTTGTTCATTACTTAGGTATATTATAATTTACTTACTGTATAATCACTTTCCGTTGGTAGGTACTTCTTTTTTACTCGGTATTTAGCATTTAAATTGTATCATTACGTGTGTTGCATAAAACAAATTAAGCAACAAAAAAATATAACACAACTACTCTTAAATTAAATGGATTAAAACATCGATTAGATACTTATTAGGGGCTGATAATGGGCATAAGTAGTTTGATATATTTTTTTATGATAATAAGCTTTTTATTAGTTAATATTTATATAACCATAATAGTTAATATGGATTTTACTTAACTTTGGCTTGAATAACTATTTGCGTTACTGATTGCTGATAAAAACAATAGTGTGACTACTACATCTCCTAGCGTATTCTATATTGTCGGATGATGTATAATATTGATATCTTTGACCACTTTTCAACACTAAAGAAAATAATAAAAAAACTTAATAATTTATTACATACTAACAAACTGATATATATAATATTCCTTAGTTTTAAGAGTCCCGTTCACTAAGACTAGACCACATAAATTTAGTTCATCATTAAACTTGATATTACTATGATGAATCAATGAAATGAGACGACAAATTACGACAATATGTTTAAAAAATTATTTTTCTAAAAAAAAAAACAAATTCTGGAACATTTGGAGTATTAAAATATCATTAAATAACTATCAAACTGAAATACAGAGATCGCTGTCACTGTAATTGACATTTTACTGTAGCGCGATTCGTTGGAAAAATAATAAACTAACTTTATTATTTTTCGTATATATAAAAGTCTTTCTCTAAGAGTCAAATGTTATACTTCCGTAGAATTAAAAAAAAATATATAACAATTGTGTTATCAATCAACGATCGTCTCATTTTTACTGACGATATAGTTTATACACAGTTAAATAAGACGTTGAAAGTTCAATAATGACGAAAATGGAAGACAATTTTAATAAAGACCGTTTCTCAAAACGTGCATTTTCATACATTACGTTCGTAGGTAACACTAACTACTTATTATACTTGTTCATATTTTTTTTCATAAACCAACTTAAAAAATTCATGACAATTTGTTTAACTGGGTGAACTTGTGTCCTTGTTTCATTTATACACATTTATTACAAACAATACGGGTAACAGAATAATTTATGGAGAATCATTAAGAATTTAAATGTAAGACTTCTTATTATTGCCATAATTGTTATCGCTAAAAATTTAAAACTATAAATTATTATTTTTAATATCAAGTCATTTTAATATTATAAATAACTACGCATTATACCTGGACATGAAATACGCAAAAATGTCAATTCACCTTTAACGCGAGTTTTATTATAACTACGAATAATAAAGTATGTACTTACTACAGTTGTCTATGTTTAGGACTTAAGTTTTACTGTTTTATAGTCGTATTAGTCATAAATATTCGAAATTATGTTTAAAAAATATTTTATGGCCTGTGATGTCTGTACACACGGTAGTATTGACTAATATATATCGTACAAAGTAACGAGAAAACATCAAATAAACCATAAAATGGTACTCCGAATTTAAATATATTTATCAAGTATTCATATTGTCTATACATCATTGCAGTAAGGTTACCTACATAATTATAGAACTTAGAGTTATTTGACTACAAAGACAGTGCCGATATGTGGGAAAAAATTGCGTGGAAATATTGGCAAATATTTAACATTTTCTTCGATGCCTTTCACTGTTGTATGCAGTAGCTAACCGCAGGGTTTTCAATGTGCAGGGGCTTGAAAATTAATAATTATTTCCAGTTATCACACAAATGAGAAGATTAGATTTGAAAAATAAAGTGGGTACTTCTTAGTTATTACCGATATGAAACATTAAATATACACAAAAATATGTTTAAGAAAAACTTTTTATCATAACAATAATGATCAATAAAATAATAATCATAATTTTGTTTATTCTAATTATTTTATACGTGTAGGTGAGGTTTTTTAAATGTTTGTACAACATCAACTTCGGTCAGTTCTTATTTTTCATTTATATTGTCTATAGCTAATCCGTTGAGACGTATATGACTATATAAGTCCTCGATTATGAGTTTACCACAGTTGACACTTGATAAATATAAAACAGAAAAAAGGTAATAATAATGAGGGCAATGGTGGGTGGGGGGTGTCAGCATTTAGCCCTTCTCTACTGCATACGCCACTCACCTAACGCGTGTATAATTTGTAAGTCGTTTTTTAGCACAAATTTGAACAAATTTGAAAGCCCCATACAATATGCGTAATATAGTAAAACACTGGAGGTCGTGATCGGTGAAAGGAGATAATGTGTTTTCCACTCGCGGGAAACTCGGCCCCGACAAGACCGAGTACGCTGCAGCATGTCGGACGAGACGTATTGGCGTCAATTAATTGGGAGAAAACGGTTTAAGTACAGAGTGATTCAACAATCACGCTCGTCCCCTCCGCTTCCTCTATAAATACTGTGGGTTTATTTGGGAAATTTTGATTTTTGGAATTTTTAAGCACCTATTAATATAAAAAAATAATAATATTTCAAAAAACTTGTATTTTCTGTCTCATTTAAAAATGGAGTTCAGTTTCGATACAAACTTCTAGTTTTCAAAATATGACCACCATTGATTTCAACTGTACATTTTTAAGGAGATAGTTTTTTTAGGCTTAGAAGACAATGGAGGTTATACATACATTGATTAAACAGACGGATTATTTAGCTGATGAACGATTTAGATACGTAAAAAAAGCATCTGTTTAAGTATCGATTACAGTTTGTCATGTTTAAGGAGATTAATATAGGAAAGTATGACGATATTTTGGTGACTATAATTATTATTGTCGGTGTGTGACAACTGACAAGTAAATCAACATTAGAATATATAATTTGAACATTTTATCGTTTGTAAGAATGAATGGTTTATTTTTAATGGGTATAAATTGATTTCGAATACAACACATATAATTACGATGGTCACTATTTTCGAGAAACTCAAAACGATATATAATTTGATATCGCCTGAACCTTAGGATCAAGGTTTAGGGTGACAGTTTTAAATGTTTTTCAAATAACTTTTTATGTTATAATAAAAAAATCGACTTTTAAGTCTTATACATTGGTACTTCAGTGGAAAAAACAAACGAATTAAAAATCCCTTCGATTAGAACATAATAATATTACAGCGAGATTGTTAATTAATCCAAAATTCGTTTTCCAACATAAGACATGTCTCATCGAAATCCTAGTGTACATTCAAAAAAAAATATAAAAATCAACGTTTAAAAAATGGACTATCAAGGAATGAAAACGGGGAAGGGGCATGTTCAGCGAACCTCCCTGTATATACACCGAGAGAACTTCGAAAGTAGATAACATATATTACGGAACTTTGTGGGACACCGTTCGTATTACTCACCCACCGTCCAACCACCATTTACCCACCGTGTCCCCACGCCTCGATGGGGTCGACTTTTTCAATCGGTCAAACCGATTCGTTTCTCCGGTCACGGTTTATTATAATATATAGTCTGCTCATCCAGGAGTGCCGTATTATATATTTAAAGCTAAAAGCAATGTGCGAACGACGTATAATATATTTTAAATAAAATATTATCATATAATATTATATATTTTGTTATTTATTACTTTCAATATTATTATACATAACGCTGACGCTTCACGCCAGGATCGTCACGTGGTTTTTGTTTTACCACTTTGTTTCTGCACGGTATCGTGCTATCTCGAGTGGAAATAATAATATACAGTTGATCGAGTTTAAAAAATAGAGGAAAAAGGTCCAAGCGTATTATTATATTGAATGTGGTTATTATAAAAATTACGAATTTTTATCAACACATACGTCGTAACAACCGACAGCTCACACTGACAATATTAACTTTGATCTCATCTGATGTTGATCCCACCTGTTCGAAAAAAAATCGATCTTCATCACTTTTCTCTCTATTTCGTTTTTTTTTTAGTGGTACAAAGTCACTTGCCTCATAGGTAGTAAAACGATAGCGTATTTTTCAAAAATTCAGATAGTAACTCTTACTCGGATCAAATCCAAAATAGAAAACCTATAATACGATAAAACGTTTTTAAAAGTGAAAATAAAATAGCTAACAAGTAGGTAACCACTCTGCTGTAGGTATAGAAGATGTCATGTGCACGTCGACATCGGTAGATCACTGTAATGGATGTGTTAAATTTTAATTCAATGATACATCATTGTATACGACAAAAAACGATTCTGAGCGACAAACTGTCAGGCAATACGTCTACAAAATAATTCACGATTTTGTAGAATTTTGTTTACATTTGAAGTTTAAACTCTTAAAAATGTATCTTAAAACTAATTTTTTTTTTTTTAATTCTCGTTACTCAATTTATGAAAAACCGTGTGATTAATTTTCAATCACAATAGGTATAAAAATACAATTTACATGCTTTTAATATTTGGATATCAACGGATTTTATTAAAGTTTGAAATTCAGATACCAATAAAAGAAAAACAATGTAAG